GGGGTTGAGAGCTCTCTCACCAATCTAATTTTCACATTTTTATTTTATTAAACTCGTGCAGGCTGGAAATAGGAGTCGGTGGAATCGGCTTATTGTGAACAACCACCAACACTTGATAGACAAACATACAAAAGTGCGGTCTAGTCCAGGTTCGGTCATCGCCCTGTCTCTACGATCATCGATGCATGTTTCAATTGATCTGATTTAGCTGGCAATTAGGCCCAATCCCTCTCCATCTTACGCTTTATCACTTGATTTGTGTACGTTGTGAGCTTGGCAGAGATCAGTGAAGTTCGCTTCACTGTATCTTGCTGTACAATGATGATGATGGTGATGGTGATGATGATGATGAGTTATTGACGTAATCTTCATGCTCCCTTCGTCTACTTCACAGACGGCGCCCCGGCAATGTTTTGCACTAGATTTTTCATTCCACATCGCGGTATGGTGAACAGTAGTAGACCCCAACTCCATGACAAAAAGGTTATACTTTTGAGATGTGTTATTTGATGGGATTCATCAGATAGTACTCATCTGAGGGCGGATTTTCTATCAAACCGCTCTTCCAGTTCACTATCTTGGTTTCCTAGTCATTTGCATCCTCCGTCAGTTGGCGACTCCTTAATAGGGAAACAATTTTGACATCATGGCAAAATATTTCTCTCGTAATTTCAACTACTTATCTCGAGAGGCGGAGTAAGATCCAGTGTTCTCTTAATTTCTCACCGGGTGTTTTTTGTATCTTTCTATTGTATCCTACGTTACACCAAGTTTTTCTTTCACTTTCTTATTTCATAAATGTATGCAGTGCGTTGTTCTCACACTCACGAGTACATTTTGTGCCCAATACAAGATCACACTTTGTTTCAATAACTCCACAAACACCATCCTGGCTTGGCGTGCATTCTGCAATATTCGTCTAAAATGTTCACTTTTCCCCGCAGTTTATCCTTTTTTCATTCTTTCTTGGGCACGCGCTCATTATTCGGATCACGAGATTGTTTCATCTCGCTTGATTTGGGCAACTCTTCACTTGTCGGTTGATTTATGAGTCCAAGGTTAGCGTGCTTAAGTCTCCCTCATCTCTCTCTCTCTCTCTCTCTCTCTTTATATATATGTATGCGTGCAAGCGTGTAATTGCAATAGTCAGGCTGCACTGCTTTACTTCATCCGAATGCCTCCTACCCTGCTTGTCTTCTCGCAGTACCGAATGACTCAGAGTTGCCCCCCGCCACACACACATAATGAACAAAACGAACTACCACATGTCAAGGCAAATCATTCTGTCTCTACCCATGTAGCTATTTTGGGATGCATTACCCGAAAATATTTTGCA